GGGAATTGTCAGTAGCTACCATTCTGAAGGGAAATGGCTGAAACTTATCACTGCAGCAATTATATTACATGAATGCTTGTGAAAATGAATTAAGGATTAGATGTTTTGTGAGCATTTGTATCTAAGTTACACATGTTCTACTGTACTACTTTTGTGCTTATTATATATTTACTTGTTAGATTAATATTTATATTTTAGTAAAAATGTATTCAAACAAATATGGATATCAATTTCAAAACATGAAACAAGTCATTTGTAGTTGCTTCTGAAGAAAACGTGTTTCACCTAAATAAAATAGCCTGTTAAATTAGCAATATTTTTCAAAAGGTGCTAGGATATTCTTAAATATTTGACATGTAAGCATCATAGATTGAGAAAAGTCAAAGTTGAACTGTTATTTTTTCCTCATTTGCTCTCATTTTGCCAGGTTTCTGCATTCCAACATTTGTCTGTGGTTGTCGCCTTTCATTGATCTTGATAGCTATGTGCTGTGAAAATAACCAATTCCATGTGTGGATGATTGTTCTTTGTTACATTTTTGTTTACCCACTGTAACTAAATAAATCTGAATCTGTAACTACCATTTGTTGAACAGAGAAAAATGTTAAAATATTTTGTTGGAAATATATCTTCAAATTACCTAATACGTAAAAATTAGTTTAAAAAAAAAAAAGTTCATTGGTTGCTCTCAATAAATATAAATTGTTAAAAGTACTAATGCAACAGCATTTGCAGATCATTCAAAACAATTAGCCATTAAAGTTTGATTTTATTATTATCAAAACATTCTGTTAGAACATCCATGCTCAATTACTAAGGTGGATTACACGTGATAATCGGTATCTTCTTGTTGGCTTCTTGCTTTCTTAATACAGTGGGTTTGTATAGTATGCTGTTGCTGATTGAAAGGTTTATTAAAAAGAGCAATTTTTGAGACTTTTGGAATTGATCCACTACTTCTGCAATAACTAAAAACAAATTAATTACTGTATTCAAATTACTGAAGTATCTAGTGTCAATACTTCAATTGGTATATATTCTACTATACCATTCAGTATGAATCCATGTGAAAGATTTTACATTGTATAGGAATTTGTGAAATAATTAAAAAAAAAAAAATCAAATGCCAGACACTGAAATCTATGTCTTTTAATCATGAAAAGTTATTGTAATGCTCTGTTGTTAAGACAATGTTTTCAAATAAATAATGATATACCTTCACGACCATTGTGAGGAACAGTAAGTAAGTGTTATTGCTTTTCCATGAAGAGAGTCAGGAATATTTCTGGAACAAAAATTTATTTAATTTTCTTTGATGTATATTTTGTGAAATGAGGAAAATAGCATACCTTCCCATTTCTTTGTTTTCTTCTCTTTTTGGTCATTTAAAATCTGCATAAATGTTTAGTGTTATATTTGATTTGAAAATTATCTTATCTGAAGATAAATATTGTTTCTTCTTGAAATTGGGCAAAAAAAAAAAAAAAAAGAGAGAGAGAAAGAAAAAAACCCTCAAGGTCGTCAGGTAGGGTGGGGAGGGGAGCTCACTCGCAAATCAACATTTAAAATAATGAAACAAAAATTTCCGTTCAAAATAACAAATCTCTGAAGTTCAATGTTTTCATGCAGTATAATGAAATTTAACCTTGCTTTATCATGTGAAACAGTTCTGTTGTTTGCCCACAATGTAACTTACTATGACGTCTCCTGCAAGTGACAATTTTAAAACCAAGTAATTGGATGCAAGATTAATAATAGTGTGTTTAAGAATGTTGTGCTATTGTTAATAAGACTAGTTGTGGTTTCTCATTATCTTAGGTGTTCCCAAACATCACACATCAAACTGTATTTATTACTACAGTAGGAAAGAAAACTTTCTTCTCGAAGAGCAGCAGATCTTGATGTTTTTGATGTTGTTTCAATTGGGTTTCATGAAATCTTTGTCTAAAGGCACTGATCCATGGATAGGAAAATGAGGGAACCCCCCCCCCCCCTCAAATTTTTCTGTAACTTAATTTTAACTTGTCACGAAACTTTCAAGTAAAAATATTTTCAGAAATGAATAAAATCGCATTCTAGCACAAGCTGAGTGCAGTCTGTGATATTTTACAAAACTGTAATGCCGCATTCAACCAAAACACTTTTTAATTTCCCCTCTCAAAATTTGTCTCTTAATCCGCCCATTGTCTATGTATTGGAAGTTATTTCAGCTCGCACAAAACAAGCCCCTTCAACAAATCAACTCCTTACATTGAGAAAATAGATGTATATTTTTTTGTTTCACGTAAAACCCTCAAGTTTCATCTCCAAAATTGTTTAAAAGCACTGCAAATATTTCAGGTTTATTTCTGTATTTCAAGTAAATGTTATCAAAAAGAATCAACTTTGGTATACTATGAAGGTTCCAGAAATTAGAGTTAAATACTACACTGAAATAAATGATAGGAAATGACATTTTTTAAAAGAAGTTTTCCCCCATTGAAAACATTTGACGAGACTTGTGCTTTATTTTCTTTATGAAAGTTTAATTATATGAATCAGCTAAGATAAGATGCATTCATGAATTGAATGTTTGGGCTGTTTTTTTATTTAATTGAGAAATTCTTTCAATTTTGATTTTCCATTTTAATATTGCAATTCTTTTTATTATGTACAAGAAAATTTTTGAGGATAATTTGTACAATTCAAAAACTACATTTTTTGTTCAAGTAGTTTGTGTCACTGCATTTTAATGAAGTCATTTTATTGTTAGGAAATCAATAGAAGGAATAATATTGTTTCCCATTGCAAAAAAAAGAAAAAAGTTGCAATGCAACCAAGCTAAGAATTATCAGAAAAGAGTTAAGATACCATAGTATTTCGGTTCATCTTTCACAATTTGAGTTTAGGACTAAATATATAAAACTTTGGCCATAATTACCAATAATCATCACCGATAAAGTCAATTGAAATCTTAAACCATACTATATAGTTTCGATGTTTTTTCTGGTTTTGCACAAAACCCCTGAGATACCGTAATTCTCAGACTGTGAGCTTTATATTACTTCTGAACCACACTACACACAAAACAGTTCTTGAAAATAACAACACAATTTCAGTGAGCCAAAAATAGACTTGGTCACAATTTATGATGGTTCTTTCATCTCCTGTTCATCAGGCGTCACTTCACCTGTGCAGCTTGAAGTTGACGATAAGAGCCGCCTAACTGACTGATGTCTTGTACTTCGAAAAGCACGCGTCATGTGACCATTTTCATGCGTTACTATTTCGTCTTTTCCTAGAAGATCGTTTGGCAATATCACTGGCAATTCTGTAAAACTTCTGCAAAACACCATGACCTGTATAAAACAGAAAAAGAACAGTAACCAATTTATTTCTCAATATTAAGTTATTTTTGGAAAAAACTAAACACATGCAGTCCATTGAATAAAAATATCTTAAAATTATTAAATGTTAAAAATTCTGGTTCTTAGTTAACATCTTTATTTTTAAACTTTCAAGCATTTAATGTGAAAAATAAATCAGTCTTGTGAAGGAGAACCATCTTTCACTTACTGTGAACACACCCAATGCAATCCCTACTACAGCTCCAGCCAATACATCCCACCAGTGGTGCCTGTGGTCAGTTATTCGAGTTAAAGAACAAACTAGTGCCCACAAGATGCATAAAGACTGCAACCACGGTACAAGCAACCATGATGATTTAACCAGTCGTCGTTGTAGGAACCACTACAATACAAAACTTAATTGCAGGATCACTCAGTGTGCACAATCAAATATAAAATCAAATATTACTAACCACAAGGAAAAATGCAGTATATATGGAGATTGATGCATGTCCTGATGGAAAAGATTTTGTTGAGTCTTGAATAAACCAACGACTGAAGTCTGTGTTGGTACAGTTGAAATCCACAATGTAACTACAAAAAATGTTTATATCAATATTTTTAACAACAATACTCTTCATTCATATATAAAGCAGCCTTGCCCATCACAGCCACTGCCAGCTCAGTTCACATGACAAGGTGCATTGGGGGTTGCATAATGACGTTTTTTGAAAATCATTCCTCATCCACTCTTCTAGGGGTGTCTTACCTCATACAACATTATTTTCCCCAGTAATAATGTATACCAAGTTTTGTTGAAATGGCATTGTTTTCTCATTGAAGATTACAGCTGAAGCATCAACATACTACTACTATTTTTTTTTTTATATATATATTGATATTTTTAACAATGGGTACATTTGTGAGGCAATGTTTACACTGATGGTGATGTTTACAATGATAGTATTTAGTTACATATAGTAAGAGTTATATGTATTATAGGTTGTTAATAAACTAAGTAACGAGTATATTTTTGTACACACTTTAGACAAATGAAAAAATAGCATGTTCCTGAAAAGTTTTAGCTCACTTGGTAATTGGTTTTGAAAAAAAGTTTCATAAAAAAAATATAGGAAATTTCATTCTCTTTAAAATTGAAAGGAATAATTTTTTTACAGAACTTAAGTTTTAAGAGTTACAGAGAGAAATCCGAAAAAAAGTAAAAAAAAAAAAAAAAAAAAAAACCTGCTCTTTCGGGTCTTCTGGAGTTAACACAGGGTCTGAGAGGTCAAAAACTTGGGAGTTTTAACTAGAGCCAGGGTACATGCAACAAATCCAAAGGAGTGATGTCTGCATCACTTACGTGGAATAGTCACAATGAACATATTTGTATTTGAGGCAATTTATGTTTTATTTGGAGTATTGCTTAATTACTTACACACTCAGACTACACAATTCTATAATCTAAATTTTTATTTTCAATTGAGGGGGAGGAATGACTCAATATTGCTCTCCAGGTGATTCCAATCCTAGATATGTGTCTGTGCAATGTAATTGTAAGAGTGAAATGATTAAGTTTTAAATTATACCCTATTTCTTTTTTAATTTAATAAAATATTTGATTTTATATTTAATAATATTAAGAAAAATATCTGTATTTTTTATTAATTATGTTGCATTTAAATCTTGTATATTATTAAGTTTTCTAAATTGACTGCTCGGTTTGGGTTTTACCCAAGGTAAGAATATATCTTACACCCTTGTAACGAGTCGACAACGACATCATGAGATCGGTGAACGAATGTAGGAGGTGGGAGTGGACATTCTGTTTAAGGAATTTGAATGACTTAAAAATTATGCAATGCGCAGGCGCACCCACGGTGCACGTGGGTTCCCCGAGGTGTTTTTGTTAATGCGTAGCCCGGAGCTGTCTCGTAATTCGACATGCGGAGGGTAGCAACAAAATGTCAAGTTAAAAGTGTTCGGTAAAAAGGTAGTACATTAGTATTAAAATGCGTTATACAGACTCAAGGATGTTTCGCATGAATCGCATTGCCCGAAGGCCGGAGCCTTGCCGAGTTGTACGTAACACTTAAGTGTAGCGTCACTGTGACTTTCAATGTTGAGGTTAAGAGCGCGTCATTCCGCGTTTGCCATGTTCTCGCGAAAGTGAGCTGATTCGGTCTCGCTCGTTACGATAACGGATAACAGCATTCGATTCTTTCACTGTAATTAAAACCCCTTCTCGATTGTTTTTCGTTCAGTTTCATAGCGATCCGGAGAATGAACGTTTGCTTCTGGAAAGTAATTATTAGTATAATTATTTCCCAAAGTATCTTAATTACATTGCTTTGCTAGTACTATAAAAGAAATAATAATAGTGATAATATAAAATATAGTATTTCTGAATTGTAAAAAAAGGAAAACTTATTTGATGGAAAATTATTTATTTCAATTCCCTAATAAAAAGTATTATCTATTGAACAATTGAAGTTCTTCGAGCCGGATGACTCGCGCTCCCC